CCCTCACCCCCATCCCAGGCCCCAAGAAGACTTTCCACATCAAGCAGATGTTCACCTGCACATCTGCCAATGTGGTATACTGCATCCGCTGTACCCGGTGTGGCTTCCTCTACATCGGGGAAACCAAGCGGAGACTCGGGGACCGCTTTGCAGAACACCTACGCTCGGTTCGCAACAAACAACTGCACCTCCCAGTCGCGAACCATTTCAACTCCCCCTCCCATTCCTCAGACGACATGTCCATCCTGGGCCTCCTGCAGTGCCACAACGATGCCACCCGAAGGTTGCAGGAACAGCAACTCATATTCCGCTTGGGAACCCTGCAGCCCAATGGTATCAATGTGGATTTCACAAGTTTCAAAATCTCCCCTCCCCCCACCGCATCCCAAAACCAGTCCAGCTCGTCCCTGCCTCCCTAACCTGTTCTTCCTCCCACCTATCCCCTCCTCCCACCTCAAGCCGCACCTCCATCTCCTACCGACCAACCTCATCCCGCCCCCTTGACCTGTCCGTCCTCCCTGGACTGACCTATCCCCTTCCTAACTCCCTACCTACACTCACCTTTCCTGGCTCCATCCCCGCCTCTTCGACCTGTTTGTTTCCTCTCCACCTATCCTCTCCTCTATCCCTCTTCTATCCGCCTCCCACTCTCTCCCCATTTATTTCAAAACCCCCTTCCCCTCCCCCTTTTCTGATGAAGGGTCTAGGCCCGAAACGTCAGCCTCTCTGCTCCTATGATGCTGCTTGGCCTGCTGTGTACATCCAGCCCTGCACCTTGTTGTCTCGGATTCTCCAGCATCTGCAGTTCCTACTATCTTGGATAATATCCAGTAATTGTTTAGTTGAGGGGTAAATATTGGCCAGTTTAACATCAAGAAATCCCCTGTACTTCTTCAAAATAGCTACTTGGGTTCTCTTACGCTGACCTGCATGGGCTTATGTTTCACTGGGAAGGTGGCACCTCTGACAGTGCAACGTTCCCTTAATACTGCACTGGAGAGTCAGCCTGGATAATATGCCCAAGTCTTTGGTGTTGCACTTGCAGACACAACCTTACAACTGATTACTGACATTATCGATCTCACCTTGCCAACTATATCAATAATAATAAAATACAAAACAAAAGATCTGCAGATGCTGCACACTGTATCAGAAACAAAAACAGAAATTGCTGGAAAAGCTCAGCAAGTCCAGCTGCATCTGTGGAGAGAAATTAGAGTTAACATTTTGGGTTGAGAGACCCTTCCTCAGAACTGATGGTAGCTAGGAAAATTTCTATTTATATGCAGAAGAAAGGATGGCGGGTGGGGAGTAAGGAGTAAACAATAGGTGGGGATAGAGCCCAAAGAGAGAGAACAGTTGTATAAAGGAGTGGATAACAATTTGGCTAAGAGGGTGAATAGCTATTAATGGGGGACTTTTAGTGGCTAACAATGGGTTAGGTCCTCCCCACCGTGCTATCTTCTGCACATAAACCAACATTTTCCTAGCTAAGATAACAAGGTGTACAGCTGGATGTACACAGCAGGCCAAGCAGCATCAGAGGAGCAGGAAGGCTGACGTTTTGGGCCTAGACCCTTCTTCAGAAAATCTACCATCAGTTCTGAGGAAGAGTCACTCAATCCGAAGCACTAACTCTGATTTCTCTCCACAGGTGATGCGAGACCTGCTGAGCTTTTCCAGCAATTTCTGGTTTTGTTGTTGATAATGAACATAAACTCTGACATACGTTTGATGCTGGCCATTCACAATTGGGGCATTGCTGTTTGTGGGATCTTGCTGTGACATGTTTCCTACAGCACAACAGTGATGGAACTTCTCATTTGCTGTGAAGCGTTTTAGGGCATGCTGAGGTTCTGAAAAATTCTACAAAAATGCAAGACATCCTTTCTTTCATAGAGGTCTGAGTCAGGATTCTGCAACACTGGATTTGTAAACAGTGGCTCTGGGAGAAGCAGGCTTTATTTTAGTCTTAATGATCCCACAGTTTCTCCTAGTGTAGCAACATGGTAACAACACACGCAGTATGTAAATACGTTGGAGGCAGCTCAGAAGAGGTTTACAGGTAGTTCTCCTACAACTTGATAGTTGCATTCTTGAGTGACCTCGTGCTATAGAAAATCGCGTTATAGGGAAATCACTGCAGAAAGTCGCTTTCCCCGTACAGCAGAAAGTTTGTATTATCCAAACAGCATCCACTATTCATCAACTGCATTACAGCCAATTTGCCTTAATGAAACACGCATTATAGCAGAACTACCTGTACTAGACTGATGCCTGGAATGAGTGAGTTGTCTTAATGGAAAGGCTGTACAAGCTGGGTTTGTTTCCGCAGGTGTTTAGAAGAGGGTGGGGTGACTTGATTGACGTGTATAGGATCGTGAATGGTTTCGACGAGGTTCATGTGGAAACAGTGTTTCTTGTTATGGGTCAGTCCAGAGCTAGGGGCCACTGTTTTAAAGACAGAAATAACCCTTTCAGGGCAGAGGGCTGTGCAACTTTGGAACTCCCTGCCTCAGAAGGTGGTGTCATTGAATATTTTTATGACAAAAAGTGGATTTTTTTTTTAATTCATTCACAGCTGTGGACATTGCTAGCTGGGCCAGCAATTGTGGCCCATCTCTAACGGCCACTTGACCTGACTGTCTTGCTAGGATCATTTCAGAGGGCAGTTAAGAGCCTTATTCTAAGACCTTGTTCTAAGTCCAGAATCACATGCAGGCCAAATGTGTAAGGACAGCAGATTTCCTTCCCTAAAGGCCATTTGAGAACCAGATGGTTTATTACAACAATCAACAATGGTTGTCAATAAGTGAGTCTTCAATAGCAGATTATCATTAAAATAAATGTAATTACATTTGTAACAACGACACCATCCTGTATCTCTGGATTATTGGTCCAGTGACAGTACCACTACCCCATCACCTCCCCTCTCGCTAGGCAAGGGAATCAAGGGTCATCAGGTATGATGGGAATCTGGAATCCAAAATACAAACAGATCAGCCATGATCATATTGAATGGTGGAGCAGGCTCAAGGTCTACTTCATCTCATAAGTTTGTATCATGTGGTTCAGCACCAAACCAGTCAGAACAGAATTCTTGGTCTGTGTTGATTTCAGCCAGGGTGCCATCAGTTGGCACTAACTCTGAGTTACAGAAAAATAATGAACCAGGATTTCTGCTTCTGACTATTATCCAGTGAGCCCTTGGTAACAGACAGGTTACTTTCAGGAAAAGCTCAGCAGGTTCTGGCAGCATCTGTGAAGAGAAATCAGAATTAACGTTTCGGGTCTGATGACACTTCCTCAGAATGCGAACCCGAAATGTTAACTCTGATTTCTCTTTACAGATGCTGCCAGAACCTGCTGAGCTTTATCAGCAACCTCTGTTTTTGTTTCTGATTTACAGCATCCACAGTTCTTTTGGTTTTTATCTAGGTTACTTTTCAGGATCTGACTTGTCCAGTTCTAACATCAACTGGATATTACTCTATTATAATTGGTGCCACTCGATCATAACACGATACAGTCAAATGGCCTCCTGACTTTTGCAGACTAAACTGGCACAAGAAAGACTGCTAGAAGGAAGAGGGTTTCCCAATGCCAATGGAAGTGCATGCCAGTTGAAGCCAGTGTTTAAAGGAGAGAAGAAGGAAAATTAGGAAAGGAAGTCTAATAATCACTTAAGCTGTGCTATAAATTCAGGAATCCAACAGTGACTTACCTGAGATGGATGTTCCACATGGGATAGAGTCAATGGACCCGTGGCTGTTAGCATGAACACTAAGACATGGGAAACTATGATACAAGATAGGCTGCAAGGTGACAGTAAATTCACCAATCTCTTTCCCTGTATCAGAAACCGTCACCAGGGAGTCTGTGAAGTAAATATTCTTGAATTCCTCCGGCACTGAAACACACAATTCATCAGCGGTGTTATTAAAAATAGTCAATACAGTGCTCTACCCCATCTGATTCCATTACATGCCCCTGACTGAGACAACAGCATAGTCCATTTATGTGGGAAAATAAAACAAAGAATGGGGGATGTTGGAAATCTGAAACAGAAACAACAAATGCTCAAAAAGCTCAGCAGTCTGGCAACATCTGTGGAGAGAAAACAAAGTTAATGTTTTGAGTCCAGTGACCCTTAAGGTTTTAGCAAAGACTCGTAGCTCAGGTTGTGGGTAAGGTTGCTGACTTGCTCACCGAGCTGGCTTGTTCTCGTTGAGACGTTTTGTCAGCATGCTAGGTAATTTCATCAGTGAGGCCTCTGATGAAGTGATGTTATTCTACTCCGCTTGGAATTTATACTGTCCGGTCCATTATGGTGAGTACTGTCATTTCCGGTTTTGTTCTGTATCGGTTTGTATGTGGGGTCCAATTCTATATGTTTGTTGACTGCATTATGGTTGGTTCTCAAACTATCTCCCTCCAACTGACCGTAATCCGTGCGCTTAGATCCAACCTTGGCTTTGTTATTAAGCCTGTCGATAAGAGTGATGCTGTTGTAATCTGGCATTACTGACCTCATCATTGCAGAGGCTGAGCGCCAGCTCTCAGATGCCTCCTCCTATCTTTCCCTGGACCATGACACTGGCACATCAGGCCATTGTATTAATTATGATAACTGACCTCATTTCATCTGGTGATCTGCGCCCCCCTCACTGCCTCCAAGCTGACAGTTCCCCATACAACTCACTTCTACCTTGTTCCTAAAGTCTACAAACAGGACTGCCTGGACAGACCCATTGTTTCAGCCTGCTCCTGCCCCTCAGAACTCGACTCTTCCTACCTTGGTTGAGAGGTCTGTTAACAATGGTCCTGGGGAACCCTTAGTTGAAGAAGAAAGTGGGCATTTCGAAGGTTCCTAGTTGAAGTTGGCCTCATCAGAACATACGTAATGGGAACGGAGTAACTGAAAGCATGGAATGGAGTCCCTGGTGCAGTCCTCTGATGCTTTATGCCAGTTTCAGAATTTTCAGTTTGCAGGGTCCAGCCGCATCCTCTTTACCATGGATGTGTAATCCCTTTACATGTCCATTCCCCACCAGGATGGTCTCAGGCCTCTCCGCTTCATCCTGAAGTAAAGGCCTGAACTGTACCTACCCACCATCCCTCTCCTCTGCTCGTCCTCACCCTCAACAACGTCTCTTTAACTCATTTTCTTCAGGTAAGAGGGGTGGCCATGGGTACCCGCATGGGTCCCAGTTATGCCTTTCTCTATGTGGGGTACGTGGAATATTCCTTGTTCCAGTCCTATTCCGGCCCCATCCACAACTTCTTTTTCAGATATATCGATGAGAACATCAGTGCTGATTCCCTCTCTCATCCGGAATTGGAAAAGTTCATCGATTTTGTTTCCAATTTCCACCCTGCCCTCACTTTCACCTGGTCTATCTCTGACTCCTCCTTTCCCTTCCTCAACATCTGTTTCTATTTATGGGGATAGACTGGCCACTAATATCCACTGCAAACCCACTGATTCCCACAGCTACCTGGACTATACATTATCACACCCCACTTCCTGCAAAGACTCCATCCCATTCTCTCAGTTCCTCTGTTTCCATCACATATGTTCTGATGAGGCCAACTTTGACAAGGGAGCCTCCGAAATGCCCACCTTCTTCCTCAACTGAGGATTCCCCAGCACCGTTATTGACAGGGCTCTCAACCAGGTCCGACCTGCACTTCCGCCCTCATCCCTTCTCTTCCCTCCCGCAACAGCGATAGTGTTCCCCTTGTGCTTACTTACCATCCCACCAGCATCCACATCCAGAAGATCATCAGATGCCATTTCCGCCACCTCCAGCGAGATGCCACCACCAGACACATATTCCTCTCCCCTCCCTTGTTTGTCTTCTGCAGGGACCGTTCCCTCTGGGACACTCTTCCTTGACTCTTCCTTGACTCTCAATTGCCCCCCTACAGCCCCATGGCACCGTCCCCTGAAACTGCTGAAAGTGTAACACCTGCCTATTTACCACCTCCCTCCCCAGCATCCAAAGGCCCAAACATACCTTCCAGGTGAAGCACAACTTTACCTGCACTTCCCACAATCTAGTCTACTGCATTCGCTGCTCACAAAGTGGTCTCTTCTATATTGGGGAAACAAAGCATAGACTGGGTGACCACTTCACAGAAAATCTACGTTCTGCTTGCAAAAAAGATACTGAGCTTCCAGTTGCCTGCCACCTTGTTCCTTGGCCAACATCTCTGTCTCAGGTTCCAGCAAATGTTCCAGCTAGCTCAGCGCAAGCTGGAAGAACAACACCTCATTTTCCGCTTGGGGACCCTGCAGCCCTCTGGACTCAATATTGAGTTAATAATTCTAGGGCCTAAACTCTCCCATATCCTAGCTCCCTACCCCACACACCAGGCCTTGTTATCACTTTTAACACAGTGTGGAGTTGGAGGAACACAGCAGGCCAGGCAGCATCAGTGGAGCAGGAAAGTTGACGTTTCGGGTCGGGACCCTTCTTCAGAAATTTC